TTAGACTGCGTGTTTTCGAAATTGCTAGCAAATGCCCAATAGCGCTGCGTGGCGCTATCGCAAGATACGCGGGTATTGTGAAGTCAATACATTCGAGCTAGCGGAGAACCTCTCCTTTTTATCGAAAACGGGATTAACAGGAGTGGCGAGACGAGTTAGACATGTCACTGTGGAAGAGCACCATCATTGGTGGGAACGCTCTAAGAGGTAGTCCAATGACCGCCCCTCCACGCCTCCACCGATGACTACGCTATTTCATAGATGACGTGACCGATTCGACTCCAATTCTCAGCCAGCGTGACCGCTGCCTTTAAGAAAAATCTGATACAGAAATACACAAAGCTACTGATAAATTTAAGTTTATTTACACTAAATCCTCTGCGCGAACATAATCTCGAAGACTTTTAGGCACATCTTTTCCTTCGTATAGCCCATCGATGAGTCGAGCCAACACTCGATCAATGTCTGTTTCCACATATACCATTCGAATGAAAGCACCAGAGTCGACTTTGATATTGAGACGACGAGAAATGTAGTCACCGATGCGAGATATCTTAACAAGGAAATGGTAAGCTTGAAATTTAGTTAGGAAAAACTAGTAACAAGCCTAAAAATTATTACAGTGTCGTCCTGTCGTACAAAGTGGACAGCCAATCAAGAGGGAAAGCGAAAAAAAAAAACCAAAAACATCGGGATTTAGAGCCTCTTTCTGAGAACGAGAACAATTTGACAAACAGGACGAGGATGTAAAAAGTTGCGATGAGGAGGGCGCTGTATCAGACTCTTCTGTGAGTGGAAAACACCGTCCTGATTTCCTCCACACTCTCTCTTCAGAGAACCTCGGCCCTTTGAGAAAGACGATTAAGTCGAAACGTCGGCCGTTAATACAGTTGCCATCGGAAAAGCTTGTTGGCAGAATAAAGCCAATGAACCCTGGCTATTTTCCACGCTATTGACTTACTCTAGCTAATTCAAGTCCATTGTCCTCGATGACAATTGCTTGAGATTCGTAGTTCCGTAATTCTTTTCCCATAACTGTGCGCGCTTTCACGTCCAAGAATAAGCCTTCGTCAAGCAGAGCTCCTATATTGCTGATAGCGTCAGATCAATGAAAATAATCGACGAATACATGCAACTAACCAATTTTGCTGGCACTCTCGCTTGCAAATTCGTCCATTTGCTCATCGGTCAAGTCTAAGGATAAAACACAATGCTTCAGACGTTGACGAGCATGAGCCAAGTCAACGACCCTCCTCTGTAACGAAGGAAAAATGGTTACACAAAAAAAATTAACAGACTCCGAAAAAATAACACCTTAGCATGATAGGCAACGCCAGCGCTCTGGATGGTGATTGGCCACTGATTTGTACCTTCCATGAATTGGGCCCGTATGAATAAGGAAACAAGTGAGAAGAGCGAATGTCCAACTGAAAAAAGATACGGTAAGCGACCAATGCAGAGGTAGGGAAACCCGCTTTTGCTCAATAATCCACATTTTCCACTCTTTTCTCCGTAAAAAAAAGATATTGAGAAATAAAGGAGAAAAATGTTCATTCCCACGTTTTCACGATACCTCCTTGAAGATAAGGTCATTTCAGTTGGCTGCCCCACACTTCACACTTTTGGACGAGGCCGCGGCGAGCGCGGCCGAGTTGATAGTGATCGCGAACTGTGTGGGTAAATTTGAAAACGCACCCAAGGTACCTGCAAACAGTGTCGATGGTGCGTTTTCAAATTTACACGCACACTTCGCGTGCAATATCGAGTTGGCCGCGTTCGCCGCGGCCATGTCCAAAAGTGTGAAGAAAGTGGGGGAGCCATTTCAGTTCCCTTTTCTTATCAAATAGGACAATTTATTACATGCGACAAAAGTACATATGTTCAATTATACTCTTTTCTCTCTCTAAAAGAAAGAGTCGGCCTACTGGTGGATTTTGTGCTCTCAAACACGTCAATGTTCTTCCCTGACCTGCGAGCAACGCAGAACTAAAGGCGTATGCACAGTCGGTTCTCGAGCAACACGCGCGACACGTGCGATCGCAACGGTCGTCACGTTCGCACCTGTCGCGCGACGGACGATAGATACGTATCTGATGCTGTGTGATCATTACGATCATTACGACCGAACGACCGACTGACTATGCATGCGCCCTAAGGAGTTGGAATATAAAACTCCAAAATCGCATCTTCCCTAGAAATTTGAAGCAATACCAAGCGCAACAAGCTTTCGAGAATAGACTGATCGCGTTTCATTCCCGCTGGACAAGGTAAGCAAGAGGTGCGGGTTCGAGTCCCGTGTGGAGCAGAAGCTTTGTTGACAACGCAGCATTCTTGTGAAACAATATCATTCCCAAGGCATGCTGTGTGTTATGTACCGCACCTCATAGTGACTGTGCCTTTTGAAGAGTAGAATAAGGAAAAATCACAAAAATTATTGGAGCAGCCGAGCAGCTCAAACAAAACTCACCTAAAAACGTGGAAGGAAAGTTATCTGATCCGTCTGTGAAACTCAGGAAGTCCTGAAGTGGAGCGTTTACACCCTCCAAGACAGCGGCTCGAGCAAAACAAGATGGTGAAACCAAAATAGCATTGGAAAACATATCGAGAAACTGCGCTCTAGAAGTACTATGGAAGTTGTGAAAAAGAGTTCTAAAAGAAGACTCGGAACATACTTTAAATTATTTTGGAGCAATACAGGGTAGCCTTCAAGATGAACAACACCAACTTCATTGTCAATGCGCATATGACCTTTCTGAGTGAGGTATTGTTGATGATCTATAAAGGCAGTAAATCACAACCGTAAGGCAAAGAAAACGCTATTGAGCAGAGTAGGTGACAACCTCCTTAGAAATGGACGATGATTCGAATGTAAAGAACTGTATAGTCGTGTGTAACAAGGTGCAGAAGCAAACGTACGTGACTTCTTCAGCATTTGCTTCTCAGTTTTTCCCACTTTGTGCACAAAATTAGGAAGGGCTAACGCAGCCAGTAGACCTGCTTGCTCATCTCTCATTGCTCTCTTGGCGGTTGCTACTGCCTCCTGAACAAGTCTGTAATTGTTTTCGTCATATTATGATTTGCGACCTCCATTTGTGCAGACTGAGCGAGCGGTCTTGTCAAGCGGTG